GTGTGTGTGTGTGTGTGTGTGTGTGTGTGTGTGTGTGTGTGTGTGTGGTGTTCTAGGACAAATGTCTGAGTGCCACTCTGCATCATGAGACCCTTCATGTAAACATGCTGCTGCCAGCTTGACAACCGACTGTGAATGAGGGGTGAAGACGCTGCCCTCTGAAGGAGGAAATACATTTATATTTTCATGGTTCAACAATGTTCCCAGTGCTCCCGGTTGATTATTAATAAATTGTGTACTTTTGTGCGGTGAAGCTCATCGGGGCAGATGTTTCATAGTTTCCGGTGTTTCAGTCCAGGATTAATAACAATGACGCCCCACAGGGGACAGATTCCAGCGAGGTGTTTCCCAGGTAACTGCCTGCACTTCACATGCTGCCCACTCAGAGAGCACCTGCCTACAGCGCCTCTCTACCGTCAACGGGCTCACACAGCCTCTCTCTCTGAGCTCGCTTTGTTTGGTTTCCAAGGCGCTCGCTCCAAGTGGCCTCTCAGCCCCGGAGCCAGATCTGTATTGGGACTTGGAGAGGCTCCTCTCAGAGTCAGGGACGCACAGCAAAAAGACCCGAGGAGGACTCCAATCTCAGATTAACTCTGGAGGACCTTCTGCTGTCTCCAGTAATAATCACCGTTAGCTAGAGACACGTTTGGGGCAGAGGATCAGATTGATGGAAGGTAAGAGACGTGATGATGTCTGTCTGAGGTTACCACCTCTCCAACGTGAGGTTTGGGTTCAAACATGGCGACACGTGGATTCATTTTTAAGGGGAGAGAGCAGCAGCATCTGATATGTGGAGGCTCTGTGGGTGCATAGAGGACCAGGATGAGCACCATCTCACAGAGGATGAACCATGTGTGAATAATAGATGACCTGCTCATACCTGCCCCATGTAACAGAGTAAGTGTTGCTGGGATGAAAGGTGAGCTGCAGAGAGACTCTTGATCTAGCAGAGTGGAGCTGATGGTGCAGGACCGCAGCAGGTCTCATGGAGTGACATCAGCTCCGACAGACGTTGTATTTTTGGAGTTCCAATGAATGATTCTTGTGTCATCTTCATGCCTACAGGTCCGCTGCCTGAGCCGGTCATTAATGGAGGAATGGACGAGAAGGTAAGATTACACCAGCGGCAAATATATCACAGAGACAAACGCAGGATTAAAGCCATCACTGGGTTTGTAGATCTGCTTTAGAGCGAAGCCAAAAGTGAGATTTGAACTTTGAAGTGTGTGAAGAGCCGTCGGTCTCCCACAGCGGAGACTTCCTGTCTCCTGACAGAGAGGAGGACGAGAATACTTGTGCTTTGAATGCTCTGTAGCTCTGTAACAGTCAAGGTCGAAACAGGGTTTCAAAGTAACACGCAGCATTTTGGCATTCAGGTGTGGTTTCGCCACATCAGAGAACTGAAGTTAGTTATTAATCACAGAGACGTGTACTGAACGGACTTTCCTGTGATTGTCTCAAAGTTCTGGCATTCTTTGTATACGGTGCTGTGTGGAAAACCCCACCCGGCTAGTACCCCATTAACTTTGAACTATTTGAAAGTGTTTGACCAAGGATGGATTGTGTATTCAACATTGAAATCCTCCTTGGCCCACAGTTTAGAGAGTATTGTATTAAAGGTACATTAAGACTAGAAGCTTCTCTTTTGAGCCGAGGCATGAAGAATGTAGCAGCTTCATGTTAATCCTGCTCAAGTATTTGGGCGTAATCCCAATGAGACACACTGGCCACCACTTACTGTAGGAGGCAAAGGCTCTCACTCACTAACTTCAATAATGAGTTCGACATTTTGGGAAAACCGTTCGTTGTCTTGTAAGGCTGCACAATTCATCGAAATTACAATGTGGCCTCTTGCAATTTATAAAAGGTGAAACGTGTGTGTCACGACCCGGCTCAAAGTACAAATTTAATGAAATGTTTTCGTGCTGTAGAGATGTCGTGGCCTACTTATTATACTCTACTGACTTAAGCCCCACAAGAATGCTTTTTGACGGCCTCTCAGGTTACCAGAGTGTCTTGTTCCCAGGTGGACACACTAGACTTGTATGTAAATCAGTGTTGATAAGATAAAGAGATGATTCCACACTTGTATGAAGACACTTTAGAGACGCTACTGTGCTGACCCGTGGCTGCCTTCTGCTCCGGCGTTTGGCCAAATATGCAAAGTGAAGCCTGGAGCGGGCTGCAGGGAAGTTAATTGTTCCTCGTATTGTTGCGAAACAGACGCTCGTTAAAGGGTGGTAGAGCTGAGAGGTTGGGGTGAGAGGTCAGGGACAAGTTGTCTGTGAGGTAAAACGATGCCGTCTTTAAAGGGGTAGTGGGCTGGAGTGGGTTAAAAATCCTCTCGTATGACATACTGATAATTATGCTGAGGCTGCAGAAACGTAAATGCCTCATCCTGTCACCTTTGCAGCTCATTCGAACTGCTGCAAAACACTGAGGGCAGGAAATAGGCTGTAATTCAACCAGCAAGAGAAGCAGGAAGAGTTTCTCAAATCTCACCACTCTTACAAAATTAAATTTAAAGTTTTGCCTTTTCCACGAATATAATCCGAGGAAAAACAACAGATGTACTAAATACCGCTTATTGGTGATTCCCAGATGACAAAACATGTTTACAACTTCTCAGCTGCCTCTAACTAACTTGTACTCAATAGAAAAAACAAGGGTGCCCCCTGTGGTAAGGACTGGTACTGCATCACCAAAACGAACAACAGTTTCCCAGTAATGATGTGTTAGTGTGATAATGGAGCGATGCTGATGCTGAGTGCTTGTGTCCCCAGGTGAATGGTAGAGGGGCCAAAGAGGCAGAGAGGGACTCAAAGCTGTCCGTCAGTCCTTCTCCGTCCAACGCCTCGTCCAACGCCTCGTTCACAACCCCGCCCACCAACACCCCACCTGAGGTACGTCCCAGCAAATAACAACCTCTTGTGATTTCATAATGTAAAGTGGAACTAATGTAATACGTTTTTTAACCATTCAGGGTTTTATCGCGGACGGCATCCCAGCGCTCAACATGTCCCTGCAGCAGGTGAAAGAGCTCGCCCACCAGAAACGCTCCAACAAGAGAGCCCCCCCCATGGACTGGACCAAGAAGAACGAGCTGTTCAGTAACCTATAGGGCCCCTCAGCCCCCCTCACACACCTGCTAGAGGGATTCTCACAAAGAGACGTCAGAAAGACATTAAAAGAGCAGATTAACTATCGGCATCAGACAAATCAAGAAGTTCTGTAAGATATAGTACTCTTCATTATTACTCTTCATGCTACTATATAATCCAGATATTACATATATATAATAATATGTATAATGTGATACTAACAATGAGAGATGCTCATGCCAATGAAAGAGAACTGGACCATGTTGAAAATGTGTGTGTGTGTGTGTGTGTGTGTGTGTGTGTGTGTGTGTGTGTGT